ATGAGGACGCCGACAAATGGATCTCGCCTGGCCAGGGCACCATTGCCCATGAAGTCTTCTTGGATATCATTGCTCCAGCCTTCCCCGAGAAGTCATCCAGCCAGGATAAAATGGCTTTATTGAAGCGCTCGCACTGGGTGGTGAACACCAATCGTGCCTGCTACGTTCGCAAGGCTGGCACGGGCACCAATCCCGTGCCATGCATCCAGTACGAAGGTACCATCACGGATTTCATTGCCGACTCAGGCAAGGCAATCCTAGATCGTATGAAGAATGGTGACAAGAGGCCAGCGTCTGATTGGCTGGAGAAGAGACAGTGGTCGCATGACTTCATCTCCCTGGTTCTCGAAAAGGGCCGTACTCCGGAGCGAACAACAGTCATTGTCGAGCAGGGTTTGTTTGACAAGACCAAACGCCCTGTCGAAAGGAAGCCCGACCTCCCCTTCTCTGGCCGGGTTGTTGTGGACTTGGAGAGCACAGACCTGGTTGCACCCGCTGACGGAACCGAACATCCAGCGTCTCGGCCAACCAAGCCTGCCCCAGCACCGTGGACTCCAGTACCCGTCAAGAAGGAGCCAGGCGTCTTCGCATCTCTGTCCGCTGCTTCCGGTAGTGCTACGATCGATCTGGACACCCCCAGCCCCAGACCTGCTCAGGCAAAGCGGCAAAGGGTTCACGGCGATGGGTCTGCGTCTGAAGATGGCGATGGCCTGCCTCGTGTTGGTGAAGCCCCGGAGGATGAGTGAACCAAGCACTTCAGATCCTGAGTGAGGCTAAGCTCAGGTTTTGACTCGGATATGACCCCTGCATCACTCTAGGTCAGTGAAGCCAGTACGAGAACATCGCCCGCGGAAAGATGCATTAGTCGCCACTCCTTTGATGTTCTGAACCATTGCACCCGAATGCCTCGCGTGCACTGTTGCTGCTTCTTCTCCTCAGCCGTGCCTCCAAGTAGTTCGTCATCGCTGCAGTAGTTAGTGGTTGGTAGTCAGCATGAAGCGTCCTGCCGCCCAGAGCACTTCAAGGATCTTCCGCTCCCATCTCTTCAGGTGTTTGTGCAAAGGAAACCTTGCAGAAGCTCACAAAGTCGACGCCACCCTCTACGGGATGTCCGGTCCCGAGAAGGTCTCGGTTGCTACCGTCCGCTGTACCTCGTACTCCTGCAGACGAACGTATGGTCCCAATTTCTACATCGAACAAAGTGCGAAGATCAACACCCTACCAGATGTAGATGTTGCCGGGGAGGCTATATTTGT